TCTCCATTTCCCATCTTTGCATCTGGAAAGAACTGCTGTTACACATGAGTCACTGACTTCAGAAACAGAGGCCCAGAGGCCATGTAGACCAGCTGTTCTCAACTTGTGAGCCCTGACTCCCACAGTAGTCACATATTTAATACCCTAAATATCATATATCTACATTACAATTCATAACAGCAGCAAAATTACAGTTATGAAGTAGCAACAAAATAATGTTATGGTTGAGGGTCACCACAACATAAGGAACCGTATTGAAGGGTCACAGCGTTAGGAAGGTTGAGAACCACTGATTTAGATAATCACTTGGCTTCCTTGTCCCTTCTGAGACAGTGTCTCTGTTCTTCTGCAGTTCTCCACTCCTGTACCATTGCTTTCTCCCCATCAGTTATGACTCAGCACAGTTGAGTCTTTTTCTAGAACATTCTCCATAACTTCTAGCTGCATCTCGGTAAGAGCCTGCAGTGGTTTGAATAAGAACGGTACTCATAAACTCATATCTTTGAATGCTTAGGGAATGGCATTAGGAGGTATGGCCTTGTTGGAGAAAATGTGCCACTGTGATGAGCTTTGAGGTTTCAGAAGCCCAAGATAGACCCAGGGTCACTCTCTCCTCCTGCTGCCTGCCAATCAAGATGTAGAACTCTCAGCTACTTTCCAGCACCATCTCCACCTGCATACTGCCATACTTCTCACCACGATGATAACTATAAGCCAGCCCCAGTTAAAGGTTTTCCTTTATAAGAGTTGCTTTGGTTGGGGTGGGTGTCTCTTCACAGCAAGAGAAACCCTAAGACAGAGCCTGTTCAGTAAATTTTATCAGTAGCCCACCTTCATTTCCACTGTGGTTAATCACTTGACATTTTTAATAGATTGTGCTTATATCTGCTTCATCTGGTGTTTGGCTCCTTGGCAGTTAAGATGATGTTTTGACCATTTACACTGATTATCTAAACTTGGTCTAAAGGGGTATTCAATAAATGATGATGAAATAAGTGAGGAAATGGATGGATAGTGAACAACGGAGGTAATAAATGCTCAAATCCAAAAGAAGCCTGGATAGAAAAAGAATTAAATTCAATATAGCATACTGATCACATCCTGAACAAACGCCTGGGAGACCCAGTGAATGGAGGAGCAGCTTTTAAAAGGCTTCCTCCATCTCCTAGCGCTCTCTCTCTCTCTCTCTCTCTCTCTCTCTCTCTCTCTCTCTCTCTCTCTCTCTCTGGTTCTGCTCATATTCTCTGAACTTTCATCACAGTTATCCATGAAGGAAGATCTTGTGTGGGGAAATAGGAGTGTTCCTAGAAAAAGAGAGAGAGAGAGAAAGAGAGCTTTATTCTTATGCTTTGCATTCCTACCACAGAATTATCTATTAGAGACTTTACAGTTGGGGGGTGGGCAGCAGCCAGCTCACACTCCTTTCTCTGACCAATATCACCATGACCAATATCACTAGTACACAGTTCCCACAACAATCCCCCATCTAGTTATGCCAAGATTAGCACCTACAAATCCAAAATAGCAGCTGACACCACTTTCTATTTGCAGCCGGGCACATGGGGCGTGTTAGCAACACGCTGGTGAGCTCGGGATGCTGAGGACGGGCCCCACAGCAGAGCTCTGCAGAGGCAGGCAGCCTTGATCTTTATCTGCAGATAACTCCACAGGTTCTTATAAGGGAATTCCAGAACTTTCTTTCGATAAAGCCTCAAAACCAGCAGGTCCGCTGCTGCCAAAGCTAAAAATAGCTCGGTCTAGTCATGGAAAGGCAGTTGATCTGGAAGGTGGAAAGCACAGGGCTCTCATTGAACACTAACTGATTTGGTGTCCTTGGACTAGCCGCTTAGCCTCTGAGCCTCTCCTAAAGTCCATGTTGATCTTGGGGAAGGTAGGCACCACCCACCCACACACCCAGGAAAAAAAGGTTAGGATCCTGAAGACGCTTGGTAAGCTCACCTCCACAATACTAGGAATGGAAGATGGGCAAAGTAGGCACACACTGGAAATGTTCCATAATTTTACTTTTAGTAGAAAAAAAAAAGAGCCACCAATATTCAGGCTTTTTGAGGTCTGAGTGACTGTGGTGAGGTGGAGGTGACCTTTGCTCTCATGCCTTCTAAGCTTACTGTGAAATACTCCTCTATACTCTCACTCCCTAACTGCCCTACCTAAGATCCATGACATCAGCTAACATCCAAGTCAACAGCGGGGCAGGGGAGGGGCTAGAAAGGGAAATGGCTCATCTCAGCCACAGAATAAATAAACAGGGCTGCTTTTCTTCTTCAGGAGGTGTCTTTCTATTCTTTTTTCAACTCCAAGATACTGCATAATTAAATTGTCTTTACTAAGCATGGACTTTATATATGTCAGGGCATATTAATGTTTTATTTGCATTATTTATTACCACCAATAACTCAGTGAAAGAAGCATCATTATTCCCATTTTACAGGTGATAAAATTGGCATTAGGAAAGAATAAACTTTGTGTCGAGCTCTTAGAACTACGATAAACAGGCCTAAGAACTCTTAAATTTCATACAAAAACCTATAGGTATGCGTGTATACATATGTATGTATATGTATATATAAATATATATATATATATAAAACCTTATCACTTGCCAAAGAAACAATAATAGATAAAATAAAAAATGGAAGCATATAGTTAATGAAAAAAGAAGTTCATAGGTCCCAGATAAATACACCCCAATTCCCACTGCCGAGCTTTATAGAACATATGTACTGACCGCAGAGGTCCCAGGTTAAATAACATGTGTATAACCAGCTGATAGCTAAGGAAAAATAGAACTTCTGAAAGCAAATGTGAGCAGTTTGAGTTTGATAAAACACTCCATATCTGAAGCCAGAATGTGCATATGCATGTGTACATGTGTGGTGTATAATGATAGTCTTATTATTTGAAGTTATAAAGTTAAAGGGTAGAACAGGATAACTGAGCACCATTGGTCCTCCTCAGAGTCTGGCCATGCTTCTCTCCCAACAGAAATTTCTTAAAGAATCATCCAAACTGCACACAAACTTAATTTAGTAGGTTAACCCATTTCTATGTGGAAAAAAAACATAACAATTTAGTTTAATGGTTACTTGTATTATTGTTAAATCTTTAAAGCCATGGCAGATACTGTGGGATCTATCATATCATAGCATTTTATTATTTAAAATCGAGAGCCTTATGGCGACCAAGCACATGCTCATTGCCCAGCATACACAGAAACCAATACTACTGCATTGGAGGCATTCACTTTGTTATTGTTTTCTTATTTTGCCAAAAGAACTTTACTGACAATAGATTAATAAGGAGCCAGGGGCTGCTCGGGGCTGCCTCACTTAGTGGCAGGTGGTACAAGGACTTGCGTGGCCTAAGGCAGAGATATAAAAGGAGTGTTGGTATAGTCTACACCAGCACACGAGTCCAGAAGTCATTCTAGTTTAGGATGCTGCTTCTGGAGGAACCTTCACTTCTCATCCATGTCCAGAGGTCAGCAGTTTCTTCTTCTCCCGTTCTGTTCCTTGGAGAATATTGCTTCTATAGGCTCCCAAGGCCATTTTAGGTCAGGTCACACCGTGGGGTTCTGCATCTGCATTCTGAAAACAGTCTGAAAGGTTTGGGGAATACAGAAATTAGCATTCAATGGCATGGCTTCATTACTAGTAGGTTTACTAAGCTATACTACCAGACTATGCTACCTTACCAAATGCACATGGCAACAACTGCTTACGGAGCTAACCATCAGTGTGAAATTAAATGAGATAACTCATGCAAACTGTCGGTACATCTAAAGCACTCACAAAGAGAGCCAACTTCCTCTGTGCCCCAGCTCCTTCTTTATCTTATCAGTTTCAGCGTGTTACAGACCTGAACCAGACCTTTAGGCCAAGGAGGCTTCCATTCAGACTTCAATTCAGCTTTCTCCCAGCTGGGTGGCCTTGGGCAATCTCCCCTTCTTCTCACACAAGGAAGTAACAGCCCTGCTGTGCAGGAATACTGTAGTGTTTACAAATAACATATGGAAAGTAGCTCACACGAGGAAGAGGAGAAACAGTTGTTCTGTGTATCTTTAGATACAACAACCCATTTTGTGAAATGGGGCTCATAATAATATTCAGAGTTGACTTATTGCATGACTGTGATTCCCATTTCCTAGAAACTGGCCTGGGTATCCTTATATGGTTATTTTTCTCATCTGGTCGTTTTTTAAGCCACTTTGGGGGCCTTTCCAGAGATACCTAAAGCTCTGACCTGAAGCCCACGGAAACAAGGGCACCTATCAGCTGCGGAAGGTACTAATCCAGGGCATCCCAGCACAGAGGTAGCCCAAGTCCTATGGCAGTCTTGGAAAGGATACAAGATTCAGACAGATGTAGTAGGCATGAGATTACAGCCAAGAGGAAGAGTTCAGGGCTATGGGCTGTGGGCTGCATATTTGACAGGCACATACACTGCAAGCCTTGTTCTGGGTCCCTCACAAAGCACCTCTTTAGGGAAAAAACAAGATGTTCTTTGTAAATAAAAGTTCATGCATTTCAATAATGAAGTCATTTTCTAGCATTGTAGTGAAAGATATTCTCTCCAGCCCTCTGGGTGAGGCCGGGCAGAGGAAGAGGAGTGGCCAGTGAACCTCGATAGAAGAGAGAGCCCCGGGCTATCTCTAGAAAAGAAGAGAACTCGTCCAGAAATGCCGCTGGTTCCTGAGGTCACCTACCTCAGGCTCCCTCCCGCCCCCTGGAATCTCTTTTCCGCCCACTTTCCTGTACACTACTGGGGGCCACATACAAATCTATATAAATATAGATCAGACATCCGGCGCCTCGGCTACGCAAATAAGGGATGTGGGGAAGCAATCAGCAACGCTGAATATTCATCTCGAGTCCTTGGAGGGGCTCCAAACTGCGAGGGGGAGGGGAAGCAGGCGACCAGGAAAGGCCTGACCTCGGGGTCTGAAAGCCAACTTGGAGTGGGAGGGAGGGCCTGGAAGGGGAAGGTGGAAAGGGAGTGGTGAGAATGAGTGTGGGAAGGAAGCCAGAGCCCCGCCGTCCTCGGTCCCAGACGCCAGGGAAAGGAGGTGGCCAGGCGCGCTCGCCCGGCTCATGCCAGTCCCGCTCTGCCGCCTTCTGATGCTCGCCGGGGCGCTCCGCTCCGTCCGTCTGTAGGTCCCAGAGCCCCAGCCTCAGGAGCGGCGGGGGACGACGTGAGAGGGTGGGTGGGAGCGAAAGGCGAGCAAGAGAGCGACCACCACGCTGCCTCTCACTCCCTGTTTCTAAAAACAACAACAAAGTTGCAACTTGGGTTCCTGGATCTAAATACCGCCCGCCCAAAGAAGATAAACCACCAGGCATCGCTGCACCTCTGGGGGTGCCCACCAAGACCCCCAGATCCTTCGCTCCAGGAAGGGCCTGTTGAACATCAGCAGAGGAGAGATGGCTTGGAGCACAGGCTGGTGGCGCTCAGTCCTGCCCCTGTGGCTCCTCTGGGGCGCTGCCTGCTCCCTCGCGGCGTCCGGGGACGACAATGCGTTTCCTTTTGACATCGAGGGGAGCTCAGTGGTCGGCAGGCAAGACCCACCCGAGACCAGCGACCCCCGCGTGACACTGGGACGCCTGCCGCCGGCTGCTGAGGTAAGGTGTCCCCTGCCCTTGCCACCCTGCTCCGCACCTGTGCTTGCCCGCTGGGCCACAATCCCCTTTCTCTCTGTCTCTGTCTCTTTCTGACAACCTAGAGTTTCACCTGGACTGGGTCCCCTCGGTGGAAATAAAGAGTTTTGTTTTGTAAGTTGGATTTTGGGTGTGAGTTGAAAGTTGAGGCGTTGGAACCTGTCTCTTTCAGCTGATGAAGTGCTAGAACCCTTCATGGTTCACACGGGTCTGTTAGACTCACAGGAGACCGCAGCAGCATGCAGGTGGTGGGTTTTGGTGGGTCCCAATAGTCAAGCCTTGTCACTTAATGCGCGTTCCCCTCAGTCTCTCCCTGTTCCTCTCTGCTGTTTGAACAGTGGGGACAATATTGCTAAAAGACCTAACCTTCTGTCTCGAACTAAACAAAAGTCTTCTTCAAGGCGGGGTGGGGTGCGGGGGATGGGGTGCTTGAGGTAGGGTGCTGGGGGTCGGGGTGGGGGGTCATCGGCTGTGAAGTAAGCTGTTAGGAAATTTTAGGGCAGATACCTTAAACAGAAATGAACCATTCTAATCCAGGAGCAAGATTAAGTCTGTTTCCAAAGAAAGCCGATCAGGATATACTATTGATCAAATGCTTAGTCACAGAGCCACTGGTTTTTTTTATATATACATTAAGAGACTTTTAAGTTGAGAAATAGCTGGAGTGTAGTCATTTGGAGAAGGAGGGTGAGTCTGGAGTAAGTGATTTAAGAGCCCCCGAGCCTAGACAGATAGTAGCACGTCCAGGCCGTGGGAGATACTAAGTGGGAGGAAAATAAAGTCACCTAAGTTCATGGGAAAGGAAAGAGCAATTGGCCTAACAGCACATGCACACACACACACACACACACACACACACACACACAACTGTACCTATGGCTACAAAAATCATACAACAAAAATAATGATGCAGGTTAATAATGATGTTAAAGTCAGTGAAGTCTCAACTGTGGCTCCTAATTCTACTCATTGGCAATATAATTATAGTCATTAATTGTTGATGACAAATGAAATGCAAGATAGTCCTTCTTAAGTGAAAACTCTACTGATGCTTCCTCAAAGGGGAGCAGGTAGGCAGAACCAGAGTGCTCTAGTCTCTGTTTTGGTTAAAAAGAAAAGCTCCATGAGAAGGAAGGGGGCTGGCCCCTGGTCACACCCAGACACTGGGGACAGGCCAGACTAGCCAGACTCCATCCATGAGAAGGAAGGCACTGCTTCTCTGCAAGTCTTGGAACTAACTTCAGGCAACATTATCTCCAGACCTGTTGCTTCCAGCAGGGAAAGGCCCTGGATGAAATGCTCGACATAGAGCAGAATTGATATAAGACACTCAATTAAACTTGAATTACAGATAAACAAGAAATACATCTTTATCGTGTCCCAACTGTAGAAGATACATTTATGCTCATTTTTTCATTACTCATCTAAATTCAACTTGTCTAGGCATTCTGTATTTGAATATGTTAAATCTAAAGAGATGATCATATCATACATAGCTAATTTTTTCTGTATTTGCTTCTCATAATAATTATTTGAATGTTAGGGTACCTTGAAGTTTAATGTTGAGACTGCGAGCAATTTCTTATATCCAGTGCAACGATAGCAAAGTATTTTAGATTGTAGATTTCCTGACCATGTTTAAACTGCAAGCTTCTTGACTTTACCCAAGTAATAGTTTGCCCAAATTGCAGGTAAAGAAACTTGAGGCTTAGGAAAATTATTGATACTTGAAATGGTTACCATAGTAAAGGTAGTACAGTGTTTGGCATAGGTATAAATGATTTGCACATGCTGAGTTATTACCATAGATGGATTAGGGTTGTTGTTGTTTTTTCTAAATCCCTTATTCTGTGCTATCTCCCAGAGGTCTTAATGCTACTAACTTACTTAATGTTTGGTAATAGTGTATCTGTGTTTGTCGATATTATTCCAATCAGAAAGAATGCCCCATAGTCAGCTAAATGTGCAATATTGTCAGGGTCTACTAGGGTCAAGTTGAGGAATTTAGGGAAGAGAAAGATGGTATTAGTCATCTCAGGGAAGCTCACAGCAGAGAGGGTAGAATACCACTAATTATGCTCCCAAAGGATAGTTTCACAGAAAGCCTCCAGTTCGCCTGTGGTCTCAAGACGATCCCAGTGCCCTACCAGCAGATTTCCCATGCTCTTTATAGCCCACGAGCAGATCTTAAACCAAATACATCCCAGAGACTTAATAACACGGCAGAACTGCTTTACTGGGTTGAGTCAGGAAACTGTATTTACATAAAACAGAATATGGTCACATTATTCATAGGAGGGGTTCAAAATGTGGGTAAGAGGGTGCTCTAAAAATATTTCCACTTTATTTGAATTGGATTTATATGAATGGTTATTCTTCAACCAACGCTCCAAAAGAAGGAAGAAAAAAAGTGAGGCCAGCATAGGTCAGTGGGAGGAGCTTGGCACAAGTCCCCCAGTGTTCCCTGAGCTCTTCCATGGCTGCACGCTTGTCCTAAAGCAGTGTCTCTGACCCACAGTGGGAATCAGTGTGAGCTGGGAGCAAATATGAATGAAAAATTAACAGATCAAAAGGACAAAACAGGCTGGCAGGCCAAGAAGGAAGGTCCTACCCTTCTTTGGGAAAAGCCTCCCCATAGGATGGAAAGAATGTGAAAGAGACGCACCCAAAGGGAACTCCACACTCCACTTGAGGATTTTCCTACCTCCTGCTTCTCGACAAGCAATCCACACAGTCCCTTACTGCTGAGTGTATAGTGACAGCAGTGATTTTTCAGGAGGTAAGTGTGGGCGAGAGGGAGACAAGTAGTTTCAAAGGGAACGCTCAATATTCTGACAGCGTTTTCAAAGGAGAACGGAACCTCTTCACTTCGTCAAGGGCACTGTAGCAAGTACAACTAAGTCAAAGTCTAAAAGTTGTGGGGGGGGCATTTATGTGGAGAGGGGGCAGTTATGCAGTTCTTTGCACAGAGCTGGGGAGAGGAAAACTGTTTCTTTCTACTCTTACCTGCAGGGTGGTTGCAATTTATAGAAATGAGGAGAGCAGATCAGGGAAATCTCCATGTGTGGAGTTGCTGTGAGGTAGGTGATTAGAATCTAGCTAGAGTCTCCTTGACTAACACAGAAGCGCAGAGAACCAGAGGGGAAGCAGGAGTGGAGAGAAAATGCCCCCCAGAGAACAAGCATCATCAGAGTATCCTCTGGGAAAGTGAGGTTCTTGTCTACTGAGACACAGGCCAGGAGTCAACCAAGGTCAAGAGCACTGGGCGAGAGGGAGAAGCTAGGTGGAGGCCGTGCAAAGACATTGAGAAATCCAGCACAAAGAAGGAATGCTGGGAGGAAGGGCCGAGTGGGAGTGGGTGGAGATGAGTTTCATCATTGTAACGGGTTTTGACACCTAAATGAGGAAAAAAAATAAGAGAAATCACTGATAATGGTGAGGAAAATTCCCTGAGAGGAGAATTGGACTTCAGGGCCTAACTTGAGTGCATTTTACTGTTATTGTCATTATTTTTTTTCTTTTTAGTTTGTTTGTTTAATTATTTATTTATTTTTGAGTAAAACCAAAACTTATTCTAAGCCACAGTCATCCTAGGGTCCCCCCTGCTATGTAGCCTCCCTGGATCTGTGGGTTGCAGTCTGATTGTTCTTTGCTTTATATCTAGTCTCCACTTATGAGTGAGTACATACCATGTTTGTCCTTCTGGGTTTGGGTTACCTCACTCAGGAGGATATTTTCTAGTTCCATCCATTTGCCTGCAAATTTCATGCTGTCATAGGACTGATCTCCAAAGTATATAAAGAACTCAAGAAACTAGACATCAAAATACTGAACAATCCAATTTAAAAATGGACTAAAGAGCTAAACAGAGAATTCTCAAAAGAAGAATCACAAATGGCTGAAAGACATTTAAAGAAATGCTCAACATCCTTAGTCATCAGAAAAATGCAAATCAAAACCACTCTGAGATACCACCTTACACCTGTCAGAATGGCAATGATCAAAAACACTAATGACAGTCTATGTTGGAGAGGATGTGGAGCAAAGGGAACATTCCTCCACTGTTGGTGGGAATGCAAACTTGTACAACCACTGTGGAAATCAGTATGGCGGTTTCTCAGAAAATTCGGAATCGATCTACCTCAAGACCCAGCCTTACCACTCTTGGGCATATACCCAAGGAATGCTCTATCGTTACCATCATTATTACACTAACTTCTCCCCAAAAATACCATTGCTTCATGGGCCCGTGGACACCCCACTCTGGACAGACTGACTTGCTTAAAGAAGCACTATAGGAGAGCAGTTCTGAGGGACTTTCCCTATGCTCTTCTCTGTGGTGACCTGTGGTCCCATGCCCTGACACATTGTTAGGCTCCCTGCCATGGAAGGTTGCAGAATGTTTACAGAAAGTGGTTGTATCTCTTTCCCAATCTGCTTTCCTTTTCCTTATCTCAACCCCTTGCTTTGAAAAAGGTTACGTAGATAATAATAGATAATAAATCTCGCAGCCGCTAGCCTAGGCAGCCATCCTGGGCTGCTGGGACGGTACTAGATTAGGTCTTTGGAACCTCTGCCTCTTTCGATCACACACCGGGCAGATTTAAAGGCTTACCCCATATAGAGGAAAATCAAACCAAAGCACCACCACCACCAAAACCTTTCACCATTACCTTCAAGTGGCAAGCAATCTGAGAGAAGATAAATACACCCATGAGCATGGATTGATGCTCTGTGAGCTAAGTACCATGGAGAAAATGAGGTAGACCAGGAGGACACAATATTCTACTTGCTGAACAGCAAAGAAGGTATTCTATACAGCTTACTTCAGAAAGACTGGGACATTGTAGCAATGGTGTAGCTAACATTCCCTAAGACATCTCCTGTCACCTCCATACGTGGGTACGACTGTACAGTTACCACCTCACTTGACAAACATGGAAACAGGTACAGAACCGGATGCC